GCAAACTTTACAGCAGACATAAAAAGTTATTTTATGTAAACTTAATACATCGCAACCCATACCTTTTTTTAGCACGGTGCGTTACCACAGCTCGATGTGCTGGGTTTAGGTAAGAGTTCAAGCTATGATTTGCACACTTTACGAATGCACTGCAAATCTTAATTTCAGTAGTAGCCAAACCCGTATGGATAGAGAAACCCCACTTGTAATAACTTTTGAGCTTTTTATTATAATAATTCTTTATAATAATCCACAGCCTTACATATTTATTATTGCCCGCAGACATTTCTTGAATGTAATATCTTTCTGTAGATATTTTTCTGTAGTAATAGCGATATTCGTTCCTAGTAGCGCCCATTTATTCTTAAAGTAATGCAACCAGGCTTGTACTTTTATTCTGTTGTTTCCCGAGCAGTGATAGAGTTAAGATTTGCTGAGTTATGGTCCAGCAATTACGCATATATAAATTTCCTGAAAAAACACTAATAATTTCAGAATACATACATCTCTAACCTACTTAAACATGTGCTGTGTCAGTAAACATTTCTCTATTTTTTTCAATAGACGATGACATATCCGTACAAGTATATAGAAAACACATCTTTTTTCGCTTTATATAGCTTAGGACCAATCTGCGTAATGGGTATATGACATAATGAATTGCATGACTTAAGAGACTGGAATTCATAAACAGATGCGGAAGTATGATTTTACAATCAGATCATATAAAATTGTTGTGAGTCGAAATTTAAAAAAAAGAAGTTAATAAACATGAAATATCATATTTGTGACAAGAGATTGTCAATGCAAGAGTTACAAAATTTTTATGCCTTTTGAACTCATGCACAATATGTAATAAGTCGAATCCCGGCTAAAGGACGACGTTCCTCCTCCGTGCGTTCTTATGATACCAAGAAAATTATGCATTTTTTCCTGGCTCCACGCCATTTTCCGAGTAATAGAAGATACTTGATATTTTTTTTAAATTGCAGATAGGCAGAAGATAATCTAACGTCACACACCAGATATAGAAGACAGAGAAGCATCACCGACACCAAAAAGCACAGAGTTTGCTAGGTTCGTTCACATGTGCAACTACAGAACGTGCAAAGTAAATTCTAAATTGCTTCGCGTCGTGAGGAATTTCAACGACTTTTTCACCTGACTGACAATTCTTTCAATATATAGGTACTTGATATAGTTTATTTGAAAATTTGAATTTCAGCTTTTAGAAGAGTCACCTACACCATCCCTAATACAAATCTATAGGATTACTTCACATCTTCTTTGATAAAAACCTATTTTTTTAAATATGTAATTATTGTTTCAAGCAAACTATTTTTTTTTGGCCAAGATTCAGCAAGATTCGTAAAATTGGATTTTACATTTTTCCGTGAAATGTGCTGAAAAAACTTGTGTGCAAGATTGCTCTGAATTTCCGTCACGCTAAAGTTCAAGGCAACTGTAGTAGCAGAAGGTGTAGGAGAAACCTGTAAAAGTCGGACTAAATATTGTAAGAGTACTGTAGATAGAAGTACATGTGGCTGTCAAAGTAACAGAATTTCTAACTATATAAACCACAGCTTTACTTTGCAAATGTTGAATATATCTGAGCAAAGCAGCCCCAATACTATTAAGTGATCTACTGTGTTTCAAAATTATTTCTCATAACCCAATTTTTCTTTGGTGGATGTATGCAGTCTGACAAAAAGACCTTTCAATCAAAAACCCTATGATTAGTCGACTTGCTAAAGGTAACTTTATAATGGTTAGCTTAAAATTAAGTGTGCTTAGCCTCTCCTTTCTCCCGTCCGTAAAAAAAAAGGAAGGGCATGTGTGT